AAAAAGACTGGGGCCCAACAAAAAAATTTCAGGCCCCCCCAGCACCTCGGGGCAATTTGCCCGCCCCCCCTACCCCCCTCTCTGCGGCCCTGGCACTGATGAATACCGGGCTTACGAATCAAAAGCTTTGCAATATAAATGAACGAAAAATGTATTTCCATCAATGCAAGAACCTTTTTATATGTACTGTATTACCAGTTTTTCTGAGAATCCAACTGTTTGTATCTTTGCTATGCTTGATTTTATATCATGAATGCTAAATTAAAAAGTAATATGAACTTTAATATTCCTAAGGAATAAAATGCACTAGTCCTGCCGATATAAGGCCAAAATTCTCTCACAATAATTGGCACATTTTGGAACGTCATTTCATAAATTAACCCACGTAAGCATGAGTGACAGGTACTACTCACTAGGGGAGGACAACCCCTTCCGCGCCCAAAATTTCGGAAAGCTTTTGAGTGGCTGAATAACTGCGTAAAGGAAAATTATAATAACTTTACAATCATGAAATCATTGGTAGGCTTTAAATTAAGCAGATTTGCAAGAACTTTAAGACAAAAAGGTTTAAAGAATCGAGATTCGCGCTAACAAAAAAGATACGAATATAAGGTGGCAATCGATATTAGCCTCCCCCCCCGACCATTTCGCGAAGTGTCCGCCAAGAGTGTGCGTGTAGACACAGTAAAAATATCAGACTAATATTTACGTGCATCAAATTAGTCGAAGGACGAAGGGACTGTTCTCAGTCGAAAAAAGGTCAAAAAGTCCCACTCTCATCCCTCTCGTCAGTCGTCATTGTGTATATCTTCCAGTTTAACATCAAGATAACCGCTTTCTTTGTTTTGGCAGCTCAATGAAAATGTATTTAGCGCACGCTGGTTTCTAAGTTTAGATCTATGTACATGTGCATATTGTTCAGGTACAATGTCATTACCTGTATAAAGTACACCAGGATTCAACATTGAGAGAGTCTTTCAGTGGAGCAGGAAGCAACCTTTAAAATGGTCCAAAAAAATTACCTCTTCACTGCATCATTACAAAATGTGAAATGAAACATTTTTCCAGCAACGTACAAGATTAATAACATTTATGCTTTCGGAGCAGAAGGATTATTCAAACCGGCGCTTTATAGTGACAAGCAAATTGGTCTCAACGACTCTCATTTGCACTAGTTCATCGCAGGCTTGTATGCATGATTGACGGATATGAAACACAATATACTGTAGTGCCCATAGTGTATCCCACCTATACGGATAAACGTAATTTGCTTGCATTAACTTTATTAAAAGAATACCTTTTTATTTCAGCTCTTTTCCAAGCAGTGCCGTTGGCTAATTTAGGTACTCGCTCAGCAAATGTAACCATTTCATGCATCAGTTCACTACAAATAAAGTCTTATGCAGTTCAACGTTATGAAGTCTTAGGGTTTTTTGGTTTCAACACTGTAGTATAGTCAAGATTGTGTAATATATGTTAATCAGTTGTCCTAATTAGTCATTGTAATATATTCATAACAGTTTGTATAAATAGCATACGTATGTCAATAAAGTGCTGATTAAACTACCCGAGACTGAGTATATTATATTGGCGACGAGGGTAAAAAATTAAGGCGTAACATGGCTACATACGGTCGAATAGATGAATACGACGAGAGTGAAGAATGGACACAGTATGTGGAGCGAATGGATCACTATTTCGAAGCGAATGATATCGAAGACAAAGATAAGAAACGCTCGATTTTCCTGAGTGTTATAGGTGCGAAAACCTATAAACTACTGCGAGGTTTAATACGGCCAGAGGTTCCGAACAAATTGTCATATGAAGAATTATCTGAAGCTATAAAAAACCATTATGTTCCGAAGCCATCAGTAATTGTACAACGTTATAAATTTAATACTCGGGTCAGAAGAAACGACGAATCAATCTCGACTTTTATGGCCGAACTTCGGGCATTGTCTGAACATTGTGAGTTCGGTAGTGCATTAGATGAAATGTTGAGAGATCGATTAGTCTGTGGCGTCAACGAAGATCGAATACAGAGACGTTTACTGGCTGAACCGACATTAGATTTAAAACGAGCTTTAGAAATTGCACACGGGATGGAAACAGCCGCTAAAGATGTTCGTGACGTGAAGGGAGAAATGCCAAATAAACACTCGATGAATAAATTACACGGCGGTAGACACAGCGACGAATACAAAGAATGTTATCGTTGTGGTGGTAAACACGACCATACAAAGTGCCGTTTTAAAACTGAAAAGTGCCATCAATGCGGTAAAATTGGACACATAGCGAAAGTGTGCCGAAGTTCTAAGAAGGTTTCAAGCGAGAAACGACTAAAGCAAGGGAAAAACTTTCGGGGGAAAAAGGACGGGATTCGGAAATGAATAAAGTTGAACAGCATCAAAGCGACGAAGAGCTAGCGTATAATTTATTCAGCTTCAAAGACAAAGAGAAAACACCGCCGTATCGCGAAAAAATGACAGTGAATGGTATTGATATCAACATGGAGATTGATACGGGAGCATCGTTCTCGGTGATTAATGAGAAAACATTGCAAGAAATTAGTCGCGGTAAAGGAAATCTCGTCTTAAAACAAACTGAAATTTCCTTACGTACCTACACTGGTGAGAAAATATCTCCGAAGGGAATTACTGAAGTGGTGGTCGAATACAATAACCAAGTTAGTCGGTTACCCTTATTGGTGCTGAAAGGCAATGGTCCTAATTTGATTGGTCGAAATTGGCTTGAAAACATTTGCTTAAATTGGACAAGCATCAAACGACTAGCCAAGCCTTAAGCCTGCCGCACACGAGAGCTATCTGCTGAGCAAAAAGTTACTCGTGCCTGTTAGCTCAGCCGATAGCTCACCGTGTGCGGGTACAATTTACTGAGTTTTTTGCCTCATGCAACCTTTTCTCACGTATCAAACATGTTTGATCGCTGAGCTATCGGCTGAGCTAACAGGCACGAGTAACTTTTTGCTCAGCAGATAGCTCTCGTGTGCGGCAGGCTTAACTTAGAAGAGGTTTTAAACAAGTACGACGACTTGTTTACAGACGAATTAGGCAAATTGAATGGCGTGACTGCCAAGATTTACGTCGACCCGTCAACGAAACCGATTTTTTGTAAAGCTCGGTCGGTACCATACACGATGAAACCTAAGATTGAAAAGGAACTCGAAAGGCTCGAAAGACAAGGAACAATTGAAACCGTACAGTATTCAGATTGGGCAACGCCAGTGGTACCAATCATGAAACCTGACGGAAGTGTTCGATTGTGTGGGGACTACAAAAGGACTGTGAACAAAGTTTCCCGTTTAGATGCCTACCCTTTACCTA